AAGGACTAATAGGTATTTACACACAATTTGTTTATTACGTTTTTTGCTGTAACATCTTAATAAATATCAATAAAATGTCTGCACAAATGAAAAAAGTCAAGACGCTCAAACCCTCTCTTTATACAATCCAAAGAGGAAGAAGCCTCAGTTGACACACTGACAAATTAGTCATTTGAAAAGCATGATGCAAAAACACAACAGAGAGAAAGTAAGATGGTACTTATGTTAGCAATACTAATCCGAGCAGGGAAAGTAAATAACTTAATTTCTCCCAAAACCTCCCACTGCTGTGCTCTTGAGCAAGCCATTTACAGGAAGGTCTGCCAAATCCCTTAAGCTCTTTTCCCAGTACTGACCTGCTTCACATTCAGGCTTTCAGACTTTTGCAGCTGAATCTGCTGAACGCAGACAGTTTGCCAATGCCAACCACTGAACGGTATGGAGCTACCAAGAAATAAAAAAAGGTTCACTGCTCATGTGTACCATGCTAGTAATGTAAATGCCAAACAGATGGTAACTCAATCACCTCTTCGGGGATTAAAGCCGGACGTCTCAGTGTAACTGGCCCACTTCTCTGACCTTTGGGCTGCTGTTGCACCCAAAAACTCCAAAACACATTTCAGTTGGTTTAAGCTGGCGGATTTAAAAGAAAACAGCACACGTCAGCGAGGCATTGTGGCCAATATAGGTCATCTTATATCAACCCGCCTAATTTTATACCAATCGTGCACGGTTCAGTTGGCCTCAGTGGACCAGATGATTAAAACCCCGGAGCTGTTTATGACTGTATCTGATGTGTTTCTAGGTAAAACGAGTGCCAGCAGGGGCATCGGAGGAGGGTGCCAGCTTTTGGGTAACAAGTCAGGACAGCGTGCTCGTGAATCTTTCCCTTGTCCAGGAAACACAAAGCCCTGCTCTGCCCTGGGGTGGCAAACGGAGAGACATGTAAGCGTTTTTGTACATGTGCACACAAGAACTATGCATCAACTGCTATTTAACGTCTTTTTCTCTCTCACACACACACACACACACACACACACAGATAAAAGCCTCATGACAAGCCCCAAGCAAAACTTCTGCCCACTCATACAGTACAGGAACAAAAAGCAAAGACATACAATTCATGCATACCTCATTATTATATATTTAAGGACCTTCATTGACTTTTACAGCTCTGTACTTAAAGCTTCATCACCCCCCTGGTTCACCATTACCTTAACTGTAGTCTACTATTATGACCCTGAACACAAGTACAATACACGTCATGCACTGACAGCCAAAGGGACATCATCACTTGACTTTCCTCATTCTTCTAACCTTGACAAAACAATGGACCCCCCCAAGACTAGAAATACAGAGGCAAGAGAAATACAACAAGACACGATGTATTTCATGTTCTTTGGTAGTTAACCACTGTAGGAGGGAAAGAAAATGGACACAAGAACAACAGCTCTAATGCAAACACTTGAAAGCCGCTAAATGGTTAATGTTTATCAAGTTAGGTAAAGCTGTCTGAGTGTGGAAATGAGGAAAGAGATCTGAAGTTGATTTGTGACATTATGTTGTAACTTGTAAGATAACATTATATGAACAAAGCTGGTTAAATGTGTGAATACACCGCAGATTTTTTTACTCGAGAACAATCAATGCTACTACATTAAAAGTAGGTAAATAAGATTCTAAGTCATTTTTTTAAGGTATATATTGGGGCTTTTAATGCCTTTATCAAGAGAGAAGACAGTGTGCAATTTTAGAAATTAGGGCGCGAGAGAGAGAGAGATAAGAATTTCATGCAGGAAAAGAGCTACAGGTCGGACTCATACCCGGGCCACTTGCCCGGAGGATCGTCGCCCCTCTACATGGGGCGCATGCACCAATGACTAAACAACTAGAACCCCAAAATAAAAAGTCCAAGCTTACGTTACCTATTAGCTAGAAAATCTAAAAAGCCAGAAAGACAACAACAAATCTGTAGCTAATTAGTTGTTAAACAACATCGAATGCTTTTTGAGGTGAAAAGAAAGCGTCACAAACAGGCCTGTTATGGCAGAACAATAAAAGCTGTTTACAGTTAATCTAAAGGAGTTTGAAACAAAGAGGATCTAAAACTTTCCCAATCTACAGAGAAGCAAGTGATCCAGTCATTCAAGGTTGAACATGAACAGTACCAACACTGCCTGGGTTTTCTCTAGGTTTGATACTTTTAACAAACTGTCATAAAGTCTGTAAAGCTTATTTATCTGTTCTTTAAGACGTATTTAATCTCATCTATGTGAAAAATAGCACACTGACTGACTACACAAATTTCGATGACAGAACCTAAAACAAGAGAAAAACGTATTTCAGTGATCAGTGGTTGAAAGATAAGGGATGAAGGATGGAGGACACAGATGCTGTCTGGATTAGAATAGATATGTGTCCTTAAGAATTGTGATCCAGAAGTGAAAGACGGTGACATAATGAAGAGAAGACAAGAACACAGCGTCACACTGAGCACAGGTGATGCAATGCAGAGTACATGCAAAATTGTGGATGCTGCTGTGAAATCACTGGCTGTCGTTTCATGTGTGCTGTGATAAAATGATGAATGAAAAGAAAATGGCAAATGTAAAAATGTGACCATTTCAATGTCTGTCTTGTTGTCTTTCTCCTGACCTCTACAGCTCCGAGCCACTATAAAACCTGCAAACAGTATAGGTAATGATATTCAACATCGAGCTCAAAGTCACAAATACCAAATGTAAACAACTTGACATAACAGGAGAGTAAAGTATTTAAACAGAAGTTCAGGGGAAACATCAGAACAAAGACAATGTGAAACTGGATCCACTGTTTTGCTGATATACTGTAAGAGCAAATAATGAGTGAATGAGTGTGTTTGATAAGACGTCTAGGAGCACTTGAGGGGGGTTTGGGTGGAAAAGGTAACTGTGGGTATAAAGGACCCCCTGTAGTTGCCATGGCGAGGTTGCTAACAAGAGCGGCTTGTGACTGAGCATGCTCTGCGATCACTCTGCTGTCCGGCTCACTGCCTCATAGTTCATTCCTTCCACTGCTTTCAGAAAAACATTCCTCCACTTCCAGGCAGCTTTCTTTTCCACAATCTAACATAGTAAAAGGGCAGCTAACCATAAAAGTGTACATCATGTGAATGAGACAAAAAACTCCAAACTGCTGAGGTCATGGAAGTGGGACTTTCCACTGATGATTACTAGAACAAGTGTTTACATGACTGCTAACTAAAATGACCACACACACACAGTCATCCAGCTATCACAGAAACAATTCAAATTTCTCCATACCTGCCCTCAACGAGAAGCAAAGGTCAGAGCCAAAACTGGAACTGAATCCAGCATTCATTGAAAGCCTTTACTTAAGGATACGATAATGCTATGAGATAAAATGCTTTAACGTCCCCTGGGGGAAATTGTCTTAAGAGTCCAAGCTAGGCAAATATTTCTGCATCCACATAGAAGCACATCAATAAATAAATAATTAATAACAAAAACATTTAAGGCGGAGTTTCCTGATGTTCTTTATGTCGATTATAATTTGGAATAAAATGACTCTGTATAAATGAAGCAACACTTTTTGAAGTGCTTACATTTAGGTGTGGTCCGGAAAAAAAAACGGTCTAAATCAAACACGAGGCGTCAAGACATCAAAATATCTTATGGTGGATTCTGCCACCTCTGTCAGTGTGTCTGGGGCAGGACAAGGACTACAGGCAATAAACACCTGGCTGTGAGAATCCGCAGTGAGTCAGGAGCATGGTCAAAGTCACACGTCGTCAGGGTTAGAGAGGCGAGGTGGTAGCACTCTCACACATCCACAGCTCAACATGCAGTAAAAATGTCCCTGAGTTAATGTTCATGTGAAAGCCATCACAAAGACATGACAGAAACAGTAAATATGACAGGGAATATGGTACTTTTGGACAGATCATTTGGAAATAAGTCTGTATTGTGTCAGCTGCTGGCTGGTGCTGATAAATGAAGTACATCATTGTGACAGCTCAAATAACAAGAATTGAGTGATATCTCAGGCAGCTAGGTGGTGTAAGCTAGGTGCCCTTGAAATAAAGGTGGGGATCAGTACAGTCATAGTGATGCCAAAATGTGATGATGAAATTTTAGACATTGGCTAACAATTGGCTTCTTACAAGCAGTTTTCCAAATAATAATAATGTTTGTTTCAAAAAGCATTCAACTCAATGTCCTGTCTCTGTCTGCCCCGAACCCAGACGCTGCCACAGACAGAAAAACATCAAACCAGGCTAGCCTGACACAGCAGATTTTGCAACATAATGCTGCCCACTAAACGGCCTTTCACAGTTTCATTGAAAAGGGGAAACTGAACCAGATGGGGTGGAGGGGGGGACAAGGTCTGAAAAAGGAGTGGGCCAAAAATCATGAAGGTGAGATGGACTGGACATGCACAGAAAAAAAAAAGGGGAGGGTGAAGTGGAGGGATGGGATGGGTGCAGGGCAGGCTGGGTGGGTGTGGAGAGGGCTGGGTGGCCTTGCATCAGATGCATTTATTATTGATCAGCTGGAGAAGTCAAACAAAACATGCGCACTGAAGACACCGGTGGGTGAACGAGGGTGGAGGTGAAAAGTGGGATTGATTGAAGAAATGTGTGCAATTATTTAATTAAAATCAATGACACCCATACACTCTGCACCCATCTCTCTCTCTCTCTCTCTCTCTCTCTCTCTCTCTCTCTCTCTCTCTCTCTCCTACATCTCTATCCAGTCCAGTCTGTGTGTCCAATTGCAACCCGTCCCAAATGAGCTACAGGGGAGATTAGCTTGATTGCAGCTGTTCTGCTCTTTGCACATGGCAGACTAATCTCATGGCCTGAGGGTTCGGGGAGCTGTCATGGTGTTTGTTTGTTTTTTTGAAAGCATAATGAAACGGCTTGTTTTTTTGTAACCTATTCCTCCTGCATGCTGAAGGTGACAAACAGACGCCCTGCTGTGTTTGAATCATCTACTTACATGGTCCGCGGTCCGCTCGTTCCCAGGCAGTGCCGTGCGTAAAGACATTTTCCGTCCCTGAGTTCGTCTTGTCGTCCAACAGGAAATAAAGAACTTGGGGGGGGGGGGGGTTCTGTTCACACTGGGTTATAAAAACACACAGCCCAGGTTAGCCAAAGTGTCAGTCACACCAGGCTCTGTATCAGGAAGAAGGAGGAGGAGGAGGAGGAGGAGGAGGGGGGGATAAACAACTTCACCTCTCATACAATCATCTTTGTCACGGTACTTGAAGGCAGCACAGATCACCACAAGACGGTGATCCAGCTTAAAATGATGCGTTCAAATACAAAGTGGTTACATCCACCTCATGTCTGTCTGCTGCTGCTGTTGTGTTGATGGTGGTGGTGTTGGTGGTGTTGATGGTGGTGGTGGTACCAACCCCGCCTCATCTGAAGGGGGAAAAACAACCCCCACTTGTCTTCTCACTTTCACCCCCCTGATCCTGCCCTCAGACGTTATCGTACCATGTCGGTGCGCAAAGACCATAAAGGAAACAATCCTGATGGCTTCACTTCCAGCTGCATCGGAAACACCACCATTGAGGCAATATGAGGGTTTTAAAAAAAAAAAAGAAAAAGGGGGAAACACAAGAGGTGGTCTCTCAGGCTGTGTCCCTTCTTCGACCACCGCGGGTTCAGTGGGAAGAAGAGGAAGAGGAGGAGGAGGAGGAGGAGGAGGAGGAGGGGGGTCTGTTTTCCTGTTAGCTTGCTAATGTGATTTTCTTGGTGGCAAACGTCAAGCCGGCGGCTCCAGACGAAAAACAGAAACAGGAGCTGCCAAAGTGGCACGAAGCCTTGGGGGGGTTTAAATGAACGGCAAAATGCGGATTAATGGAAAAGAAAGCGGCGGATGTTCAGTCTCTCAGTCCAGTCCGCCCTTTAGCTCTTCTTTACTCGGTCTCGTTGCCATGGCTCCGGCGGTGAATTCAACGGTCTCCGGCGTTACAGAAGAAGAAGAAGAAGTGTCCTGTGTTTCCAAAACATAACGTTTTCTTCTCGGTGAAGATGATGAAAGAAACCCGGGACACCCCCCAACCACACCACACCACCTCCCGAAACACACAGTGACAAGAGAGAGACGGAGAGAGAGAGGGGAGGCAGGGAGAGAGAGGGACGTCAGCGATCATAAAAGGCAGGGCTGCTGTGTCTCTGCTCGCGCATGCGCAGACACGCACACTTTTCTCTCTTCCCCCCCCCTGCTCTCATGCCGCCTTCACGAACTCCTCGTAAAATTCGTTTTGCGAGAGCCGGAAATCGAAACTACGGAGTCAGCGCAGATAAAAGTCAGCGCTAACGAAATAAATGTTTATTTTTGTCGATGGTTTGAGATTTAAACCAACAGAAATGAATGGTTTTGTATATGTCTATGTGAAAAATATCTTTAATTGTTCCGTCTGAATATCAATACACCATGTTTCTGTCTCCTATCATGCCAATCTCGCCCTCTGGTGGCGTAAATTTATTTTTTTGTATTCACAATAACAGTAAAGAATAATAAAATAATTATTTTCATAGCAACTATTCCAACAGACAACATCACTCCAGAATGACAAAGCAATTTGTAAATGGTCAATGAGGTTGCACTTGAGCTTGTATAGAGCTTTTCTGGTCTTCTGACTACTCTTCTTCACCGCAGGCCACACCTACCCATTCACAACCATCACACACTGATTGAAGAAACTACTTTGTAAAGTGTCCATCACTATTAGCTTATCCCATTCACACACATGCACATGCTGCAGACGAAGCAGCAGGAGCAACCTGGGGTTTAGTGTCTTGCCTTTGGGACACATCAAATGTTTAGCTGCAGGAGCTTGGTTCAAGACGACCGACTCTTCCACTAAGCCACAGCCACCCCTGCCGAGGAGTGAAACTGTCCCCATGAAGGCACGAATCCAAATATCAACAAATTCAATCAATTCTGGACAGTAACTGTCTCCAACATCTGTTTATATAATCCAACCAAACACATGCTTTGCAGCATGATATTGATCCATTTGTAGTTTCAAAAACAGATAACCTGTCAGTGTGGCTTTGGATTACACTTCAGCTTTAATTATAATTATATTAAGCAGTTAAACCATAAAATATCTGAATTCCTAGTTTTAAACAAATATTCTGGAGATTCATTTTCTTCGTAATCTAATTTGTCTTTTTCTCATGATTATTACTTTGAAACAGGAAAAACTGGCCACAAAAGAGCTTTGGTTAATTAGCTCAGTTGCACCACTACCCCATGATATGAATAAGGCCCCTGTTTTTTTTTTTTTTTTTTTTTTTTCAGTTGAAAGACATGATAGAAAAGTAAAATACCTAATTTTGTCCCTGTAGGAAAAAACCCACAAGCGCTGTTGAGTCTTATTTATATCATCAGCCTCTAGTGGCTGAAATAAGTATGACAAAAACATAACAAAACTGTGTCTTTCCAGGTTTAAAACTGTTTTAAAACTGCAAAGAGATTTTAAAACAGGCTTAGAAATTGATCATTTTTTTCTCTCACATGGCTTTTACAAATTTCCAATTGTTTGTAAAGTTATAAATCTCAGAGTCCATTATCAGTCAAGCAAACAGTCACATCTTGACATTGTTGTCAAGGGGGATTCATTGAAAATTTAAAAAAGGCAACCTCACATCCCACACCCTGCTTAAAAGAGAGTTGTTTATCCTTTAGGCCCCAAACATGAGCAACAAGCACCAGATATGCCTCATATCCTGTTTAATCATCACAATATTGGACAAGAAATCTAATGCTATATCCGTTTTCTAAAAAATGAAGCTCAAATACTACAGTGAAACTTAGTTTGTCATTATTTTGTGTTGACATAGTTCCTTAATCAGCTGATCTACAGGGGAGAAAACCAGGTAGGACTCGTAAAGAGATGCACATTTGTAAGGTCTGTAAGGTCTGAAGCAGAGTTTAAGGCAATAACAAACCCCTGAACACAACATCATATATTAAAGTACTTGTAAATTATTCACACTGCTGTACAACACAACCAAAATCCTTTAGTACAGTATTATTAAGCAGCTTAACCTCATTAAGTTTGATCATAATTGCATATTTATGTATAAAATGTAAAACAGCTAGTTGTCTGTCTCTGTCAAACAGCTTGTACATGTTTCTCCTTAAAATAATTAGTTCAAAAGTTAAAGAAAGTCCCATTATAAAACTTTATTAGTTAAACATTTTATTTATATATGAATATAAAACACCTCAACACAACTTAAGAGCATTCCCTGAGTACTTGGATTCACATGTTTCTTATCTATGAACTGAATGATCTTTATTATTTCTTTATTAGTGTTTGTTTGTAGTTTAACTAAGTTAAACATTAGGAACATTAAGTCTCACCTGGACAGATCTGGACCTGTTGGAGCGGACCCAGGGCCTCATCCTTCAGGTAAACCCTTAACTTCCTCAGAGATGTGACCTTCAGGGACCCGAGCCCCCACAGACTGAGAGGTTGACGCTGGTATACGAGCAGGTTGAGCAACACACAAGAAAGTTCACTGTCATCCCTCGAAGAGCAAAGGCAGAGAAAGACAGAGATTTAGCAGCAGAGCTGAGTGCAGCTGAAGCAGCGAGATAATCGATGCTGGAAAAAGAACACGCAGAGCAGCAGTCCATATTTCCATGGACTGCAGAGGCTGTTCTGAACACCATGTAACAGAGTGCACCAGCGTCAGGAGCATCACAGCCCGGTCAGCTGTGTATAAACCAATTAGAGGAAAAAACACTGGATGAGAAATTGTCAATACATCTAATGGGTGATGGAAAACAGGGAGGGGTCCGAGCTGCTTCTGCTGCTTCTACATTTTGGGATGGGGTGTATACGTGCGTTTGTGTGCAACAGCTAGTGGATTGTGCTCACAGCAGCGATTGATCCAGCCAGTAGTCAGACCCCGAGGACATCAACACACAAACAAACACTTATTTGTGTGCTTTTATACTTATGAGACATGATGTATTGCACTTGATCTTTACTATCATGACTGCATTCCTTACACCCCCCACCCCAAGCCTGGGTCTTATTTCTACTTTTACCCTAAAACATAGAAAGAGCATACATGCACAAATAAAGAGCCATGATATTTACTAAACCAATTCTGAAATGGCTTCTAAAATAACTGGTCTAAGACGTCATGCCAATTTTATTTAAACGCCATTTGGCTTTTAAAAAATTGGATGTGCAAAAAATACATTTACCTCTCTGCAGTGTTTTCCCCCTAAACCTTATCATTATATCAGTGTTTTAAATCATTATAAAACCAAGACAAAAGTCATGCATGGGCTCAAAAAAAGGGGAACACTGTATTGTGAAGTCAAGGTATAAATACACTACTCAACACGCTCCAACAGGGGGCAGCATTGCATTACAACTCGGAACAGAACTACCATCATCAGCTCCCTCTCTCTGTGACCTTCATCCTCTCATCAGAGCTGTACACTGGCAGACAAAGGTCAGAAATGACGGCAGACATAAATCTATGTACTGTAAGTCAATCAATCAATTTGTATTTGTATTGTGCCAAGTCATAACAGATGTTATCTCAAGACACTTTACAAAAAGAGCAGGGTAGACTAGAGAGAGAGAGAGAGAGAGAGAAAAAAGGAGAGAGAGAGAGAGAAAAAAAAGAGAGACAGAGAGAGAGAGAGAGAGAGAAAGAGAGAGAGAGAGAGAAAAGAGAGAGAGAGAAAGATAGAGAGAAAAAGAGAGAGAGAGGGAGAGAGAGAGACCGAGAGAGAGAGAGAGAGAGAGAAAGAGAGAGAGAGAGAGAAAAGAGAGAGAGAGAGAAAAAAAGAGAGAGAGAGAGAGAGAGAGAGAGAAAGAGAGAGAGAGAGAGAAAAGAGAGAGAGAGAAAGATAGAGAGAAAAAGAGAGAGAGAGGGAGAGAGAGAGACAGAGAGAGAGAGAGAGAGAGAGAAAAGAGAGAGAGAGAGAGAAAAAAAAGAGAGAGAGAGAGAACGAGAGAAAAAGAGAGAGAGAGAGAGAGAGAGAGAGAGAGGGAGAGAGAGACAGACAAACAGAGCAACAAAAAAAAGAAGATAATTACAAGGCCAGTCATAATGGTAACAGTATTTGTGGTTTTAGCAGGAAGAACGATGTATTTGTAATTATAGCAGCTGAAGTCGAGCAGCTCTAAGATTTACTTCATGATTAATCAAATTGATAATAGATGTTAATAGTTGTAGCGTTTTGAGTTGGAGGTCTGTAGCAGGAGGCCGACCACACCAACCATCCAGAAGAACCTATGGCATCCAAACGACAAGTTAAATTTGTTGTTACACATTTAAACATTTTTTAACAATCGTTTATTACCACAGGAATTATATTGGTTCATATTAATCTAAAACAAGTTTACAATGTTGTGTTCAAATGTTAATGTCAAACGCAGGAATTTCAAGTTATAAAACTTAAATTAACTGTGCTCTTGACTGTTTGTGTTTGAGGTCGGTGTGTCCCCGCTGGTTGAAAGTAACTAAGTTTATTACCTCTCGCCCATGATGAGGTCATTTTACTTTCCTTGAGTAGTCAAGTTCGATGCTTCTTTTTACTTCTATTTTATATAATTAAGGAACAAAGGAGACGTTAAATCCACTTGGTAAGCAGCAATCTATCAAAAGATTTTTTGAGTTTTCAAATTAAACTTTTCTTTTGGCTTGTGAGTATGACCTCTACAAAAACGCCTCGTCAGGCTGGCAGATGTCTGAGAATTAATACGTTTTGTGGCAAACAGACATTTCTTCTCTGAACCATTTAGAAGCTTTAAAATTAAAGCAGCTACAGGTCAGAACTCAGAGGCTGGGCTGGGATTCATAAAACTTCACTGAGGAGTGTGTTCATTAGGCGCACATTACCTAAGTGTTTCAATCTGTCTCACGGGCTTGAAAGGGGGGGGGGGGGTCATGTGAGTGTAGTTAAAAACAGAAGGTTAATGAGCATTTCTATAAAAGTTACAGACGAGCACAAATTAGAATACATTTTTGAGCTTTTTTAAAATAAATGAAATTACACAAGTATGAGAAAGTATAGTCTTATAAATAATGAAATGCCAATGATGAAGTCTAGGAGGGGTCAGTAAAGGCCAGACAACTCGAGCATACAGAGTACAATGATGAG